GTGCGTGTGTGTGTGTGTGTGTGTGTGTGTGTGTGTGTGTGTGTGTGTGTGTGTGTGTGTGTGTCCAGCATTTCTTCATCCTGCCATCCTTGGCCCATGCTGACCTAGTCTTTACCCACGATGAATCGCCTTTGTATTCAAATGAGGGTCATTGTGCTGCATTAATGGGGGTGTCGCACGTATGAAACGCATCGCCATGGTGACACCATGTGTCTCAAAATACACCCGGTATTTGGTTTTTATAAGGTTTTGAAGTCACATTTTGCAGTTATTTTTAACTATAAAGATGTGTCTATTGTTGAACATTAGTGTTTAGAGTTTAGTGCCATCTGGTGGCGAGAAGATGGAATGCAACAACCTAAACTCAGAGAGACGGTATTTTGAAAGCCTCTCACCTTTTTTTCCCAACGCAGGTGCAAGCAAAACGTCGTCCCAAACGACTTGTAGTGTTCCCGCAAGTGACAGCGTAAAGGTGTGGACTTTGAGACACATGCTGCCTCGTCATGTGGAATAACTGCGTTCGTTAAGTTTGTCTGCTTCGGGTATCCGTCGCATAAAATGGCGGTGAAAATAGGAGTATGAAATAGAAATGGCAATTAATTCACCTATAATCGCATTTCAAAAAGACGTTGATGGGATAGAACATATTTGTTTTTTTTTCTATAGTACCAAAAGTAGGGGTTGAAACTTTCGTGATGGTTTCAAAGTAGGGTTTTGAACTAGGGTTAGGCTTTCCAAGTTGGGTTTCAAACGATGACTAGGATAGAACATATTTGTTTTTTTTTCTATAGTACCAAAAGTAGGGGTTGAAACTTTCGTGATGGTTTCAAAGTAGGGTTTTGAACTAGGGTTAGGCTTTCCAAGTTGGGTTTCAAACGATGACTAGGATAGAACATATTTGTTTTTTTTTCTATAGTACCAAAAGTAGGGGTTGAAACTTTCGTGATGGTTTCAAAGTAGGGTTTTGAACTAGGGTTAGGCTTTCCAAGTTGGGTTTCAAACGATGACTAGGATAGAACATATTTGTTTTTTTTTCTATAGTACCAAAAGTAGGGGTTGAAACTTTCGTGATGGTTTCAAAGTAGGGTTTTGAACTAGGGTTAGGCTTTCCAAGTTGGGTTTCAAACGATGACTAGGATAGAACATATTTGTTTTTTTTTCTATAGTACCAAAAGTAGGGGTTGAAACTTTCGTGATGGTTTCAAAGTAGGGTTTTGAACTAGGGTTAGGCTTTCCAAGTTGGGTTTCAAACGATGACTAGGATAGAACATATTTGTTTTTTTTTCTATAGTACCAAAAGTAGGGGTTGAAACTTTCGTGATGGTTTCAAAGTAGGGTTTTGAGCCTGGGTTAGGGTTTCAAGTAGAAATGTGATGTTTCCTCACCTGTCTAAGGCAGTCTTTCACCTGCTGCACACCTTTTCTTGTTTTCATCAAGCCTGGGAGCTTTATGGCCACATCAGTCCTCGTTTCCGTTTAGATTGCCGGCTTCCACATTAAAAGTGATGCTTTTGTTTTAATGGCAGTGCTCAGTGAGAGCTCAGTCAAGCAGGCGGGTGCTTGGGAAGGAGGGTGGGGGCACGTCTGTGAATGATGATGGCTGGCAGTTGAATGCCAAAGAGAGCTAACACGCCGTTGGCTGAAGGCAAACATGTCAGCTTTGTATGGGAAGAAGACGGCGACAGGTTGGATACTCGAGCCAAAGGAAAAAGGTGATCTAATTCCAAGGGGGGAAATAAATGAAAACCCTACTTGAGGTGTATTGGTAAAGGAGTCAATCCAGAGTAGGGTTTTGAGATAGGGTATTTTAAACAAAGGTTGCTAAGGGTTAAAAGGATTGCTGTTCTAGAGTAGTGGTCCCCAACCCCCGGGCCGCGGGCTGGTACCGGTCCGTCGCTCATTTGGGATCAGGCCGCACAAAAAGAATAAATCCCATTACATCCACGTCATTCATTTCGGAATCTAAAAGCTGTTTTATTTTGAAAACTGACCGGATTCTTTGTTACATCCCTCCACAATATGTCACTCTTGACGCAGGTCAAGGCGCTTCTTGGTGCACTTTTTATTTATGGTGCATCTTATTTAGAAGGCACGTTTAAATGTTACCATAGCGACCTGAGAGCGTTGTGGCCAGATGGGACGTTCCTTGTGTCATGATTCGTGTTTATTATCATGTTTCTAAAATATCACAGTTTTCATGCAGGTCATATCATATTATTTTGTTGTGTTTATGCGGCATTTAAGGCTGGTCCCTGAAAATATTGTCTGACATGAAACCATTAAAAGTTGGGGACCGCTGTTCTAGAGTCTGGGGTGTTAAATTCCGAGTCTTCGACTAAAACCGAACATATAAAAATACCATTGACAATTTTGAGTCTTCAATGAACCAAAAGTAGCCGTTTTTGTAAACGTTGAACAATTTCGAGTCTTCAATCTACATTTTTGTAAACACAAAAGAGCATATAAGGGCTGTCCATTTCATCTGCAATGATGAGATTTTGTAAAACGTCCAAGGCACTTAAGCCTTCAGTTAGCCTGAAGTTTGTCCCTGTGTTGTTGTGCTCTTTAAGGGGCGAAATCAATTACATTCGCTTGCTTCCAGAACCTCATCTAGGTCTCGGACGCTAATAATTACATCCTACCAATTGAGTAAACGCGACCCCCTTTTTAATTTGATGTTTGGCACCAGATGACAATGCCACCAAATTAAAATAATGGCTGCAGTTGTTATGTTTGGGCTCCGAGCGAGCGAGGTGGGGGTAATGGCACGCTCTTGAATAAATACTGGCCACGCGTCTGAGGGCGTAATGAGATTGTTGCCGCTCTCCGTCTCCAACCCCCACTCAATTAAAGAATGTTTGCTCTTGTCACCTTTCCATAGCGAGACCATACAAAACCACTTTTGTGTAGATACGCTCATTGGACACTTCATTAGGTACCCCACACAATGAGATCAAATGCGAGAATTTTAGCAAAGATTCAGATTTTGCCGCTCAATTTATTTAGCGCTCCACAAATCAATACAACGTATCAAAAATGCAAGTACTGTATTCAGTTTTAAGGTCCGCACATAGCAATATAAGCGGTTTCGCGAGAAAATTTGCTCTTTGTACTTCGTTCAAACACATTAGGGGTGTTCACACGGCACACATTTGCATCGGTGCTGCACCGACCTATTTTGTTGCGATATATCTTACAGTGGTGTACATTTTGTGGAGCGTTCACACGTAAAAAGCTGCTTACTAAAGAGAAGCGTGTTCACCCTGGTGCATCCCCACTTGCGTTCACACGGCAGTTTCTGTGGCCGTGCAATACGGAACCATGGTTTATACTTCTCCGGACAAATCAACGCTGTGGTCTATCAGACACTGTAAAAGGATGAGAGAGAGAAAGTGTTGCAGCTCCGAAACAAAGAGAGCTGTCGTGTTGGTTCTTTTTAAAACATACACTTTGTTAATTTGTTGAACTCAAGCAACAACGGACACATCCTTCTCCGTCTCAGTGCCTGCCTTCTGCTCAAGAGCTGTTCAATGACCGCCCGAAAACGTAAATCAAGATGACTTCAATGACACTGAGAAAAGCAAACATAATGCACCAACCAGAAAATCAAGAGAGGAAATCACAAAATAAATTCTATGAGGAATTCTATGGGGGTGGGGGTGAACACACAACAAAGGAGCAAACTACACAAACAACTCCGAGACAGTCCAATCTCCTCCAAAAGGAAAGATGACGGAAGTACAACAGAGCACGAAAGCAGCGCATCCTACCCGTATGTAATCAACTCTAACTCGAAGGGAGTCTCCCCCCTGTAGCGTTCACATGCACCATTTTATATCGGCGCTACCTCGCAAACTAGCTTTTACTCCGGAGTAAAATTTTAAACCAACTCCTGAGCAGGGTTAAGTTTGCTCCGGTTTAAGCTGTTTTCAGGGGCTACACCGGTATAACTTTGTATGTGTGGACGCTCTACGTGGGTACCGGAGTAAAAGTTGCTGTGTGAACACCCCTATTGAATAACAAAACTGACACTCACCGATTTTTCCGAACCCCAAAGAGTGCTCCAAAAGCATCGCGGGGCTGGACTTTATGGTAAGCCCTCACGTCATCTCACGGAAGTTTCAATTTCAAGACAAGCTTAGTGCCACTTAGGCTACACCAGCCAGCAAGCAACAGTCTTTGTATTAGTGCAACCAAACATGTTAAGGAGTCGCTCCTAAGTTGAGAATCATCGCCAACATCGCGGCGAAAAAGATCCACCTCTGACAAGCATTGTTCTCACGAAGGGACGACGAGGAAAGACGGGAAGCCATGCTAACTGCTAAGCTAACCTAAGGTTCACACGTAACCATGAAACAAAGGAATGAATTGCTTGGGTGATTGTGTTCACTTTTCACCGAAGTCTGGCTGGAACCGGGTTACAGTTGGGCGTATGCAACGCTGAACGACAAAATAGCAGGCAATTAATAAGTGGCATCTTTAAAAAATGTTTGCTTTGCTACAGGGCCATACAACCTATTCAGAAATATTAAATTGTTTTATGGTCGTGTAAAATTTAGTAGTTTAAAGAAGCCATTCTTTAATTTTTATATGCTGTAAAATAATGTTATTTTCCCGCTGAGTACCCCTGAAGCGTTACGTTCTCTTTTCTTGTGTTCTGCTACTATCTTGTGGCGGATGAAGTAATTACATCACTGGTAGATTTTTCTTTTTTAAAGGTTAAATTGAAAGGAGGATGGTAAACGTATGTTTTGGACAACTACGGGGAGAAAAAAAAGTGTAACAAGCTTATATTGTGCTGTTGACGAATGAGAATGCCATAAATTGGGTCCACTAAAGTCCGTAGGCAGACCGAATAGCCAAAATAATTGACCCGAAATAAGTGGTGACAAATGATGACCACCGTGCAGGCAGAGATGATTATTTACATAGTCATAAATAATGTTACTCTAGCAGATTTAACTACAGAAAATGCCCTCCAATTTTGGAATGACCCAAAGACTGACAACCTTCCACACTCGCATTCATAACTATACGAAACACGTGGTCACCGTGCTGACCATTTTAAATATGTTCCATTTAAATATTTGAGCCTGACAATAAATATATTGTTTTACTGTAATATTATGACGAAATGGACTAGGTTTGGAACACGCTTAAAAAAGGAAAGCTTTTGAATAAACACAATGGGATCCATATGGCAATATTGGCATGACTACGTAATAAGATAAATGACTTCTAGCCATGTGCTCTAAGGCATTAATAGAGTTATCGTCACGAGTGACACAAACCTGAAGTAAATTGACACCAACATCAGCTGAAGCATAAACCACAAATTGTCAACGAACAATGAAGCCTAACTCGTTGACACTAACTTAACACACAATTTCAACCCTCATACAAACGCAGTCGCACATAGAGAGATAGATGGATAGCCATCAATTATAATCATTTCAACCCTATCCATGAAAGCATGTGACATCTGTCAGGGTGTTCCCATATAAACGCGAACTTTGCTCAGTTTTAATAACGCGCTGTAAATATACAGTATGTAAAAAAAAAAAGTCCAGCATGTCAACAGAAACAAAACTCCCCATCCGAAGTGGTGCGTTTGAGTATTATTTGGAAAACTGTAAAATCGTTTTTTAAGACTAAGGAGTAAAGTGGATGTGTTAAATGCCAGTAAAAAATAATTCTACAGTAATAAAAGTATTGAAGAGCCATATCCACGTGTTAAAGGGTGTTTTAAATGGTTCGCGTGTACAAATAATGACCTTGGCGGCGAGTGAAGATACGTGAATTCCGTTTGTCTTTGAAGGCAGCAAGCGTCGGCCGCGCCCCTCCTCCACTCCCCGGCTTCAGGTAACTTTGTCCCGGGTTTCTGAGTTCCGTACGTGTCGGCCGCCACTCTCCTTCCAGCCAGGTTAGGCCAACGGGGCAGACATCAGCCATGGCCGAGTCCCAGCTCGTGTGCATGGAGGACGGCCGAATCGGCGTCCAGGTGCCGGAGACGCGGCCGGAGTTCTACTACAGCGAGGAGCAGCGCGCCGCCATCGAGGAGCTCCTTAAGAACGGCGACGGTGCCTTCAAAATGCGCCTCAAGGACGACAACATGAAAGACTTTTTATCCGCCAGAGAGGTGAAAATGTTGAACAACAACTTCAGACACTACGACGGAGCCGGGGAGGGGGACGGACATGCGACCGGGGGGTCGTCTCCGTCCTCGGACTCGGGGGTCCACTCCACCTACTGGCCGCAGATGTCCGACACCGAGGTGCCGCCGCTGGACATCGGCTGGCCCAGCTGGGGCTTCTTCAAGGGGGTGACCCGAGTGGCGGTCCACACGCACCCGCCCAAGGACAACGGACCCCATATCAAGGAGGTGGTGCGCAGGCTCATCCAGGGGGCCAGCAAGGTGAGCATAACATAATATTATTATTATCAATAATAATAATAATAATAGCGTCTGCCTGTAGCCTTCAGCGTCACGTCAGTGCTAAGTGTGAGTATATGTACGTCAATGTATACTTCAAATTCGATAAACTGAGTGTGCAACCGGGGTCGCACTGCTGAAACTGTAAGGGAATGGTGTGGTGTCCTGTTTTTTGATTAAACTGGGGTGTAAATGAAGGAATGAGTGTAGAAATGTTATGCGTGTACATGTTAGTCCCGATCACGTTTTTATCTTTGCATCCGAGTCCAAGTCATGTGATTTTGAATATTCGCAGATACAGAGTCCTGCAATGCTATTCATATAAAGAAGACTACATCCAATTTGTTTCAGGAATCTTAATTAAGAGGCAGCACAGTGGTCGACTGGTTAGCACGTCCGGGTCCTGGCCTTTTTGCGTGGAGTTCCCCCCGTGCCCACGTGTCTTTTCTCCGGGTACTCTGTTTTCCTCCCACATTCCAAAAAGGTGCATGGTAGCTTGATTAAACGCCCCACATTGTGGCAAATTTTGATTGTGAATGCTTGTTTGTCAATGTGCGCCCTCCGATTGGCCGCCATAATTAAAGGCACTTGATTGTCGGTGATACTTACATTGAAAATGCAGACTCCGCTTCATATCTCATCAGGCACTTTCGCAACCAGTCGTCGGTCAACCACTAGGGGGCGAACGCGTGGCTAAGGCTTCGTTAAGTTGTCGAAATAACAAGCAAAGAGCAGCCTGCAAAATCACGCCGTGAGAAGAATGTACAGTAAAAATTGCAGATGAGGAATTTGTCGGTACATATTTATTCGGTTAGCCCTTTGTAAATGTGAAGTGCTTGGATACTTTTTATTATTTAAATCTTTTTTTTGAAGTTTTGTTTGGCACCGAAAGCAGTTGTTTGTTGAAAAGTATTGAATTATCGCGATTGAAATTTCGGCCGTGCATCCCTTCGTTGACGTCTTTTGACAAGTTTCATTCTTACCTCTGCCAAGGAGCTTAATGTGTTTGCAAAGGGTGTTTTTGCAAATGGGTAGTATTAGGTAAATAAAACATGTCAGACTCATGTCACGGAGGAGCAAGTAAGAGCTTGTTCAACGATGACTCGGACGTGCATCCTGGGAAGTTTTGTGACAGGCATTTTGTCTTTGTGACCTGTTACTAAGGCTAATTGATTTTAATTAATTAATGTTAATGGCTCAGGATGATTACAAATATGGGAGAATTGTTTTGGGTTTTTTTTTTTTTTTTTGCAGGGGCGGGGGGTGAATGAAGTTTTTATAAACGCATCTTATTTTTTTAAATCTTGTTTTTTGAAAACAGTCCAAAAAAATGTTTTTTGCAGCTTACATAATTCAAAGAAGGGCCCGACCGTTTTTTTTTTTTTTTTTTTCAGGCCGATGCTGATTTTAATGCTGGGCCGAAACAAAATTTTGCTCAAAATCTTTTTTACAGTCATGAGAATCCCAGAAGGGGGGGGGGGGGTGTCACTGTCGTTTGCTTTTTCTATAGAAATGGTTTGAAAAGAGAGATTTTATTTTCTGAACACAGTTGCCTCCTTGGCAGAGGTAGTCCTCATCCTGACAACACACTGGAGGGAAAACCCCGTTATTTGCACAAACCTGATTCGTTTGGGACATATGCGACATAATGGCTTGATCTTGTGCCAACGACATGACTTACGAGAAAGGCGTTGATTTCCTTCATCGGACCGATGAGGTCACAGTGTTGCTATCCTGGTGGTGCCTTTTCAAAGTTCTAACTTTGTACCTCAACAACTGACTCGGAAAGTGGCCCAAATAGCGACTTGAAATGTGAAATCACATTTCCGCCAAGCAGGACAATTTGGATCACTTAACCCGTAACGTGCAAGGATGGTAAAAGCGTCAAAGGGAAGAGTATCATCGAGTTAATAATTCTTCAATCATTGAAACAAAGACGATAAAACGCTGAGCTGTGCTTACAGTAAATAGACACGGCTGTTTAATCACCCATCTTTCAAAATCGAAAGTATCATCTGAATGCTTGTTTTTGTTTTCCTTTTGATTCATTTGTCATCAAAGGTAGGAGACAATGTTTTGTTAGGGTTTTTTTTTCCCCCCTAAGGGTGAATCAACAAACATCAGGCTGAACTATTAATCAAACTCCATTTTCAAATTGTAAAGTTTTCAATTTGAAAAGTAAGCTTCATATATGATATGTATTCAATATATATTCAGAGGAGCCAGATGAGGTGGCTCGGGCATCTGTTCAGGATGCCTCTTAGACAGGCGTCCGAAATGAGTTTCCTCCGCAGGGTTTCCGGGCCCTCAAAGATAATGTGAGAAGCTGGCTTATTTTTGCGGGGGGCTCGTAGTTGAGCTGCTGCTCCTCCACGTTGAGGAGGAGCCAGATGAGGTGGCTTGGGCATCTGATTAGGAGGTCTCTTGGACGCCTCCCTGGTGAGGTGTTCTGGGCACGTCCCACCAGCAGGAGTCCCCGGGGATGACCCAGGAGACGCCGGAGAGACCATGTCTCCCGGCTGGCCTGGGAACGCCTCGGGATCCCTGGGAAGAGCTAGTCGAAGTGGCTGGGGAGAGGGAAGTCTGGGCTTCCCGGCTAAAGCTACTGCCTTCGCGACCCGACCCCAGATAAGCGCTAGAGAATGAATGGACGGATGGATAATTTTGTGACGTTGGCGTTGTAGACGCTTTGATGTTTCCGACATCTGATATTTGCGCACTGTCATACTAATGGATTTTTTTGCTTGTGTTTGTTCAAAACCAAAAATAAATTGGACGAGGACCTTGAAAAAAAATAATCGGGTATTGTATTGCAACTTTGAAAGGGAAAGAAATTGCATGAAATAATTCAACGGCTGCTCTCTCCAGTTTTTCCGCAAGAACTGCCCCGTTCCACAATAATAATAAACAAAAAAAACACCCCCGCGAGAAGTAACCGTCACGGGCGAGTCCCACTTATGTCTTCCAATTCAATCACTGAATCGTGTAATCGATAATGGTCTCATTTTTTGTGCGGCGGGCAGCCCGAAACGTGTCGTGACGCGCAGACCAAATATTTGTGCGAGGCAGGCAGGCATCAACTTGGGGAAGCGCACGCCGGCTCAGACTTGTCAACTCGGCGTCTTGGTAAAAAAGACCCCAAACATGCCAGCGAGAGGTCGCGTAAAAGGAGATCTGCAAGGATAGCGCCGTCCATTTGCTGCTCGACTGGTTGATCGACATGTCGCGTCGGTTGTTTCATTTGAGCGCGGCTTTGTTGAATGACAAGACGGAAACGGCGTCTTTATTATTGCGTGTGTGCAACTACTGTATCGGATTGTTTGTCATCCAGCGGAAAGGTCCATGACGTCATAAAATGCGGAAGCTGGCCACAATTTCTCTCAAATTTAGAGAAAAAAAACATTAGGAGTAGTCAGAGTTTATTTGTTGTTGTTTTTAATCTCAGAATTAATTTTTTAAAAATGCTGACAAACGGCTCATTTTCCGAAATGTCTGACAGCGGAGGCTGTTTCAAATAGCTTTTTTTTTTCTCTCTCACTCTCTCCTCCAATTGTGCGGCCCGTGTCGAATGCGGTGGCGGGTTTTGAACCTTCTTTTCTGAGGAAAGCCACAAGCTGTCAGCAACGAGTTCAATGGAAGAGCAACGTTTGCAGTCGTAACTCTTCTGTGGGGGAGGCTGTAAACAACCTGGCAGGACACAGGCGGATAAAAGCCGGTCGCGCCTTTTTGCCCACTTAAAATTCAAGCCGAGTGCCTGGTGAGGGGAAGTCAAAGAAGTTTCCGACGTTAATTAAGTTGCGCAATAACGCCGGGCAGCGAAACAAGACTGCGGGCTGACCCACTTCTCGGCCGAGTGTGTCAGCCGCAGGAAGGAATGACTCACTCAGATTGGTCCATAAAACTTGCGAGGCCCGCTGAATACGACTCACTCATTCCGATTCAAGCTGAAGTCGTTTTCGTTTCAGTTTCTTCGTTCAAACTGCTTATTTCCATTTCCAAGGTGTCGATCATCACGAATAAAAGATGATCGAAGCCGTGGCTTTATTCACGTCAGCGTTGCGTTTGCTTTTGGCTTCATTAAAAAAAAAAAAAAATTATTTATTTATTGTTCCCCGTATATTCCTACTGTACAAGGTGTTTATTATTTCATAGCAAGAAATAACTTGGGGGTCGCCAAGTACTACTGTATTTTTAAAACGAGGCTAAAAAAATGGTGAAAAGTGGAGACCTCCGCAGAGATTTGGGCCGCTGCGGGCGTGTCTTCTGAATGCATCGGAAATAAGCCACGCCCACCCTTCACCTGTCACTCAAATACGCTCGTACGGACAGAATGTACGCAAATGGCTGTCGATGTCATCTGCAAGCCAATTAACGTGAACGGCTGCACCCTTCTTCACGAAACAGTGCGGACCCCCCACGGCGAAACAACACGAAGCGAGCCCGTTGTTGGTTTGTTCCCGAGCGAGTGGGCTAGCAAACCGCAGTTCATTTCCCCCAAAGCGTCTCCGTTGCGTGGACTGAGCCCGCGAGCGCGTCCCGCTCGCCACCCTTTTGCTTTTTGAGCCGGTCCTCAAAACAGAGACACGTTAGCCCAAATAGCAAACACTTGGATTTTTTTTTTTTTTTTTTTTAAACCTCACTGTATTCTATAGCGGTAGAAACGGGTCCAATTCTTATGATGACGTAACTTGCAATTGCAACAGATGGACACTCGTGTCACAGAGTCGCTTGTACGGTCACCGCTCTGGCAAAAATTGGTATTGAACGTCCCTAATCCGCAACGCGCGTCCTCGACCATATTTCATGTGCCTGCTTGACACACAAACTAAATTCACCTCACGGGGTCTTCGGTTGTTACTATTTGTTTGTAACGTCTGTTGACGGAGTGTCGTTTCTGTGCTCCTAATAGGTGATCGCCATCGTGATGGACCTGCTCACCGACCTCCAGATCCTGCAGGACCTGATGGACGCCGCCTGGCGCCGCTCGGTGCCCATCTACATCCTGCTGGACAACCACGGCGTGCCGCACTTCCTGGACATGTGCTCCCGGCTGCACATCGGCGCCCAGCACCTGCGGGTGAGACACTTTTCCCCCTTGCGGTGATAAATTTCCCCACACCAAAATTGAGCGACGGCTTTCGAATCTCATACCGGAACATTCTGGCCACAATGGTCCACCCGCAAAGTATTTGCAATAAAGGTCGAGAAGCCTCATTGACTTGACCGAACCGGGACATTGATTTGCATATTTGTTGGTTGTTTACCGCGAAGAACTGCCGCTCTTGTTTATTTTCATTTCCCGGTCTCTCGAAAGCAAAAGGTGCGCTGGCTTGGCTCACCGCAGAAATGCGGGAGGCCGAGCCGACCGCAGGCTGACATTTGAAACTATTTGAACGTGTGACAGTACGAGGCGGTGACACGTGTCGCTTTCAGGAAGCAACTTTGTCCTTCGAAACACCCTCATGCCAATTTTCTCTGCGTTGTCTTCACGATGTTCTTTCCTATCCCCAAAATCTGATTTGCAGAACATCCGTGCCAGAACCCTCACGGGGGTGGGCTTCAACTTGTCCTTCGGCAGACTCCCGGGCTCCATGTGCTCCAAGTATATGCTGGTGGATGGAGAGAAGGTGGTCTTTGGATCCTACAGGTGAGAAGAGAAATCAAGCCCCCCCCCCCCCTGGAAACTATTTCCCAATGGGTCACTTATGTGTTCTACCTGGCAACAAGTGAGAAGCACGTTTTCCCTCTCACCTTTTTTTTCCGCTTAGCAATATGAAATTTGGCACGCTTGTCTGTCATGATGAGACCCACAAAAAAATTCTCAAAAAAAAAAAATCATGCTTGAAAATCCACACAAAGTCTGCCATTTTGTTTAGAAGCCGACAACAAAGGCTCCATTTGCAGCAATTGTCACAACACAGTCAAAGTGACTTGAGAGTTCCCTTCTGAATTAGGGGGGGAAAAAAAGCCAATTTGACTTAGAAACGTGAAATTTGGTTGGCACTTCTATCAGAAGGAGACACAAAAAGCCTGACGAGTACATGTCTGAAAATACTCAACAAGTCTGCCATGTAAGTGGTTGGTGGGAAGTTCAGCCCTTGGGGCCATTTTCACTCCTCCATCTGAAATTTAGCAAGAGCCAACGACCCCTCGTCCCCTCCAAAAAAGAAAAAAAAAGCCTTGCCAGAAAAATACACTTGCAAGTCTGCTGTTTTGTTTTCAAGCCAACACGATTTTAGGGATCAAAAAAGGGAAGAAAAAAAAAAGTGCCACGCGTACTTGAAATTCCACAGCCATAATACACAAAAACATTCCTGAAATCGTGCCGCCAATAAACAGCAAAGCTTCACATAAACAATCAAGCGATTTCAACCCAGAGTACATAAAAGAGGTCAAATTGGAGCAGTCGTTTTCATTTCATTTCACTGTGCTGCCACACCCAGCAACCCGCCCCAAGACTCGATGTTCCAGTTTTTGTTGTTTTTTTTTTTTAAAAATGCTGAACGCGCTCCGCTCCGCTTGAGAGCGTCATTAGCGCCCAGTGATTGACGCGAGTGATTAGAGCAGGGATCAGTTCCACCTGCGCTGCCAAAGTGACAGCTGGGCCAAACTCATTAAGCTCAAGAAGAAAGTCGAGGCCACGTGCAGAAGTCGCTCATTAAGTGGCGCTTCGGCGCCATGATCCCACGAATCCGATCTGCTCCGACGAGTTAGTCCTCACCACGGGAGCAATTTTGCAGATTTTCACCGCTAACATGTCTTTTGTCAGCGAAAAATGACAACTCAATGGAACGCTAATGATGCGACTGTCAAAACATGCCTTGTAAATTTACGGCTTTGTGTTTGAACTGGGCGGTGGATTTGATTTATTCATTGGAGTTTATTCATCTGGATTTTTTTCTTTTTTTTCTCAGCATTTAAAGTGTGTGTAATTAATCTGATATTGTTTATTGTTAGGCAGCTTAATTTATTGCTTATTTTTGTTGAAAAATATATAAATATGAGAAGAGGGCCTTGAAAAAGTAATCCAATTTAAATCGGAATAAAATCGCACGATTGCAAGGGCGAGGCAGCTCGATGTAGCGCATTTCATACACAAGCTAACTCAATGTGCTTCACAACATTTAAAAACACGTAGCAACAAAAAAGTTAACCTTCACCCTGTTTGCTTTGAAGTCAGCCCTTCCCGAATGGACCCGAGTCTGCAGACCTCAGAGCCCTGCTGGGTTTGTACCCAGTTAGCGTTTCTTTCATGCGATGATTTCTCCCAATCGTTCAGCCCTATCGTCTTGTCCCGTAGTGGTGACGAGGTCACGCCAAACTTACCCGTTCTTTCCCGCGCGGCAGCTTCTCGTGGTCCACGTCGCGCATGGACCGCAACACCATCACGGTGATGACGGGCCAAGTGGTGGAGTTCTTCGACCAGGACTTCCGTGAGCTCTACGCCGTGTCGGAGAAGCTGGACCTCTTCCGCGAGTTCCACGTGAGCCCACCGGCCAACGTCAGCGCCACCGTGCGCGCCAAGGCGGGCCCCAAGCGCCCCCCGCTTCCCGCCACCACATCCCGCTTCCAAGTCAGCCTGGGCGACGCCCGCAAAGTCAACAACATCGAGGTCCCCGCTCACAAGTACTACAACCCCAAGTACTTCCTGTTGTTCCCGGACGTGCCGCATCCGGCCAGGTCCCTCCAAGGGCCGACCAAACCGTCTGAGCTCTTGCGGCTCACCGTGCCCCAGGACCCGGTCACCAGTAGCGAGAAGCTGGACCGGCTCAGCCCGCTCCCGTCGGAAGCCCCCGTGGAGTTCTTCAAGAAACCCAACGGGGTCCCGCAGGAGAAGAAGAGACTGACGCTGAAGCAGAAGATCACCAAGAGGTTGTCGTCCAGCAAGCTGTCCGTCAACAGCGGCAGGTCCAGCCCCGCCCCCGCCGGATCCACAGAATACCTGGAGAGCCAGGACCACCTGGAGGTGAAGGTCAAGTCGCCCCCCGGCAGGCTCAGGCTCCTCAAGAGGCCGTCCACGCTCGGGCCCAGGACCGACTCTGTGCAGACGGTCGACACCACGCAAGACAACTTGAGTGAGTGATGCCGACGTGACGTGAAGTCGGATGGCGGAAGGAAGTCGTGCTCTTGCTCGAAAAAGTGAGCACACGCCTGTTCAAATGGTTGTTGTTATGTTATGTTTTTCCCCCCCAAAAAATGGAGAAAGATCAGCCATTTTGGGGAATGACAACTCAATTGAAGAAGGAAAAACGAAATCTTTTTCAGAGCCTAAGTTAAAAAAAAAAAAACAGTCAGCTAATGTGGCTGCACAAATTAACTTAGTTGGGGATGCAGTTGGTCGGTCAGGAAAAGCCTGGAACATCTGAACTTTATTTGGGTTCCTCAAAATGGTGGCAGGCGTTTGCTGACTCCCTTTCAGCATGTTGGGATTCTCGTTTAATATTCCATGTTTCGATAATTCTGCCACCGTATTTCAGTCGTGATTTTTTTTTTTTCCCCACACACACAGGCATGAAGAGTCACCATCGATCTAAGCAAGTCTGCAAAGTGTCCTGAGCTCTCGTCTTGGACGAAGATTGTTGTTTTTTTTCTCCCCTCAAGTGTATTTGAAACGGTTTACAAGCACTAAATTCACTTTTGTTCGCATGCGTCTTGGACATCCTGCTGCTAACTGGAAGTAGCGCGCTCGCGGAACAGCTGACCAATCAAAGTGGCGATAAAAACAAGAGTGCCTTCTTCATTGTTGTAGAAAAAATAAAATAACTTGGACAGTATGATTTCATTTTTGTTCGTCATGAGGATCTTGGAGGTGTTTTGTCCATGTTTGGTGAATGAAGTGCAATTTCCAGGAAGGTCGTTAGTCCCTTTTATGTTGCGGGATTGAAATGAATTAAAATGTAATTTTGCTGTTGGAGAATTGCAAAATAATTGGCGTATTTTTGCCTTTTGTTATTACTTTCAGAAAAAAAAAAACACAGTGAAAAGTACTTATATATTTTTCCTATTTTTTTCTGTTGCATGAAAATACATATTTGTATTTATATATTTTTTTCTCAAAAATGTTGAATAAAAATACTGGTAATTTTTTTATAGGAAGAAACGCAAGCAAAAAAATACAATGAATAAGTAGTAAATTTAATTATGAATACATTTTTTCACAAATTAAATCAATGAATATTTACTCATTAAAATATATTTTACGATTTCTACTCTGGCCACTTGAGGGCAGCAAAGAACACTTAAAACATTTACATTCCCCTGACAGGACCT